CTAGCAGAGAGGAGTTGATCCAAGATCAGGCCCCTGCTTTTCCCCCAAAGACTCCTTGCCCCTTTCCCACCCCACCAGGATCCAAAGGCCCTCTCTACAAGTGCAGAGAAGTCCCAGTCACCCTGCAGATATGTAAATAAATAAATACTGAGCCCCTGGACTTGGAGGACAGGCTGGGGGAGGGGCAGCAGGGATAGAGGAGAGGAAAGGGAGGCAGAAGGGAGGGGTCACAGACATAGTAAATAGTTGTCTCCGTCCCAGCAACACTTCTCTCTAGATTTTTCTCTCCTTTTTGTGTTTGTTTAACAAGGAGCTAACATTTCAAGGACAAATACTTAAAAATATACATTATTTTTTTCTTCTTTTTCGCCTTTGTCATCGTCATCTTGCTTTGGAGACTGCTGAGGTCAAAGTTCAAACCGCACTAAGGAGCTGCGGCTTGGAGTTTTTGTGTATTTTTTTTAATTTTTCTTTTTTAATTTTTTTCACTTTTTTTCCAACGTATAAAAAGGTAGCGGAGTTGTCTGTGGGTTTTTTTTTTTTTTTTTTAAATGTTTAATTTTTTGGTTTTTTTTTTTTTTTTTTTTTCTCTTGGAGGCCTTTATCTCTCTCACTTGCCTTTCCCACTTGGAGGCCAGTGGGGGCCCGCGTGTCTCAGTCTTGCTCAGTCGGTCTCACTCTCTCTCTCACTCAGTTCCCCCTACCCTGGGCTAAAGGGAGAGAGAGGCACCCTGGGATTTGGGTGGGCAAGGAAATTATCAGGTCATCACCTAAGAGGCTAATCCCTTAGCCTGTCTTCCCAGGGTGCAGGGCTTGGAGACCCTCTCTTGGGCTTCCCCAGGGAGGAGATGTGCTGGGGGGGGACAGAAAAAGACTCATATCCTTCCCTCCCCTCCTGATCATAGCCCCAACTCTTATAGGGCTTGGGTTCCCCATCTCCACCCAACCCTACTTAAAACCCTACCCCCTCCCTCCCAATTCCAACCCCCACCCTCCCAGAAGAGAACAGAGAGATGTTTCAGTTACTGGCATATATATATATATTTTTTTTTTTGGCACAAAAGGCCCACCATTAGGGTAGACCCATTCTCTGTCCCTCCCTCAAGTAGGAGGTCAGTGTTGGGGAGAAGAGAATTTCAGAAGGCTCCCCCTTCCTCCAATCCACTCATCTTCCTCTCTTTCTAGCCCAGGCCGCTGGCCCCCCACCTCAGACATCTCACCTAGCCCAGAGCCTAGCTTGGGGTCTCCCTCCCCATCTCCCACATAAAGTCCCCCAGCCCCCCAACTCTCTCGCTCACACACAGACACACGGACACAGGCTCTGTACAGACCACAAAATAAAAACGATGAGATAGTTTTGTTTCCCGGAGTCGAGACAGGGGGTACTGGAGTGGAAGGGGCAGAGCGGGGTGGGGGGCATGAATTCCCCCATCACCTTCCCAACCCTGGCTCCCTCCAGCCCCCCAGCCCCTTGCCCTGGCTGGCCCCCAGCCAACGATATTTGGTTTCCTTTTTTTAACATTAAAGTTCTATGAGGTATTTGGTGCCTTATCTCGAGTCCTCGGGGGAGGGGGGCCCAGGGGGGAGACCTGGGGCACACATGCCCCTCCCTCCCTCCCACCCCCTTCCCAATATTTGGTTTCACAGCTGTAGTTAAAGCTTGGGATTTGGTTATTTTTCCCCTCCCAGGAATTTTCTTTTTTTTTCTTGTTTTTCTTTTCCCAGTTATGGGGGTTGGATGGGGAGGGTCCCTCCCCACCCCCGGCTGGACGGGGGTCCCTCCACCAATGTCAGGGCATTGGTCCCATCCCTGCCCCTGCTTCCTCCTCTCCCCCTGCCCCACTCCCCCCACACCAGGGGGTGCGGGGTGTGGAGTGGCCCAACTTGATGGGGAGGAAGCAGGATGAAGTGGGTGGTGGTGAATCCTGGATTTTCTTTCCTTTTTTTCTTCTTTTTTCCTTTTTTTTTTTTTTGTTTTTTTCTTTTTGTTGTTTTTTTTTTGTGGGGTTTTTTGGTGGTTTTTTTGTTTGTTTGTTTTTTTGGTTTTTGTTTTTTTTTTGTTTTTTTTTGTTTTTTGTTTTTTGTTTTTTTTTGGTCTAGAATCATAGTTTTTGAGTCATCTCCACCATGCCTTCCATGCTGCCTGTCTTCTCAGAGGGGTATTTGGTCGTAATTCCTTTCATTTTGCTCTGCTCAAATGTCCTTCCTTTCTGTTCAGGAGCCCTTGGCCCCCTCTCCACCCTTGGGCTGGGGCCCAGGCCCTCTCGCCAGTCCCTTCTCTTCAGGAAATAAACATGGACAAACTCAGAGGTAGGGTAAGGGCAGGGAGTTGGTTCAGCGGAGATGCTTACATTCCGGCAAGGATGGGTCGACAGCATGCCAGGCCCCATCGGTGCCAGGGCGGGAGGGGCAGCCGCTCCACTGCTGCCCAGACAAGGCACCCCGAGACCCCCAAAACAGCCGAGTCTCTGCTGTCTCCGTGGCCCAGCCCAACAGTTTCATTTCCCGGGTGGGAGAAAGGAGACAAGAAAGAAAGAACGCTGAGGCCTCGGGGGACCCAGGGTGGCAGCCGCCTCTCCTTGGAGTGTCCAGTGGCACCGCTGGGGCTCGGGGCTCTGGGCTCCCCGCTGCTCCGCCCAGCGGGGTCCAGGCCTCTGATTTCAATGGCTCGCGTCCTTCACAGCAACACTTTGGTTTGAGGAGAGACACAGAAAGATGGGAGACTGAGAGGGGCGAGAGAAGAGTGAAGGATGAGGGGGAGAGAGAAGCAGAGAGAGAACGGACTGAAGAGAACAGAAAAAGAAATCAAAGGAGGAATCAAACCACCCGAAAGTTTGTTCGTTTTCCTTTGTCCATTCTTTTTGCTTGCTTATTCCTTGTTTCGTTCTTTTTTTTTTTTTTAAAGCTTTTTCAATGGATTGGGGGGCAGGGAGCTTGGGGCTCTTCACCCCTGTCTCTGACCCCCCCCCCTCCCAGCCCTGCCCACCCGCTTCCATCTGCCCTGGCTGAGGGACAGGCCCAGCCCCAGCCTCCCCCTCCGGCTTTCCCGAAGACGACGTCCATGAGGTATTTGTGAAGAGAAAGAAGCGTCTGTCCTTCCATCCGCCTTGGGGACCAAGGGCCTGGACCACTGGCGCAGGGGCTTGGCTCCACCTCGCGGCTCCTTCTTATTCTTGAAAAGTCCTCGTCTTCTTTCCCTTAAATATATATATATCTATAAATTCTTTTTTTTTTTCTAGTTTTAATTTATTGTTTGTTTGGTTTTTTTGTTTTTTGTGTTTTGTTTTTGGTTCAAAACTTTGTTGGCCTCCACATAGCAGGAGGGCAAAGTGGCTCCCAGTGGCATCTCTCCTCTGTCCGTTGAGACGGGTCTGGGGCTGGGTAAACATGGGGTCCAGCCAAGACTTGAGGGAGGTCTCGTGGGAGTGGTGGCCACCACAGCGCCCTCTCGGATGGGGACCACAGGTCATGGTACTGTCCCCACCACATGGACCCTGATGGGGATGCCACCTTGAGGAACCCCACCACTGGGGTGCGTGCGTGTATACATGTGTGGGGTGGGGGGGAAGAGGCATCTGCCAGTATCAGAGGGGCACAGGGTGGGAAGAGCGAGGTGAGTTCTCTTTTTGGTTTCTGGTCAATGTCAAAGAACGTGAAGGATCCCACGGATAGGCACTGGAATATGAATTTTTTTTTTTTCAGGGAAACTGACAGACGAGGATGGGAAAAGAGACAACTCAAATGCCCTCACCTCATCCCTCTTGCCCGAAACGTCCACCTTCCCCTGGGCCGGGGCGGTGGGTGGATTCCAGAGCAGAGGACAGTGATGGGGTTGAGGGGGGCACATGTGAGAGCTAGAACTTCGCAAAACAGCCTAGCCCACCCTTCAAAGGGAAAAGGGAGAGGTACGAGGGGTGAAAAGTCATCCCAAGCCTGCCCCTGTGCTCTCCCCTGGCTGGGGGAGGGAGGAGGTTAAAGCGAGACCCCCTGCCCAGGTGGGGAGAGCTGGGGGCCAAGGGAGAGGGGACACGGTAGGGACACATTCTGTTGAGCGCAACGCTAAAAATTCTGTACATCCTTTGGATGAAGCTACTGAATATTTGGTGTAAGGTTGTTCAGGCCCCTTCTCTTTCACCTTCTGGAAAAGAACATTTGGCGGGTGGCTCTGAGCCCAACCCGTTGGCCCCAGGCTGTGCCCTGTCTTCGCTGGCCCAGGGCTGGGGGCTGGGGCTGGAGGCTGGCACATTCTCTTTTGCCTTCTCTGGCCCCCACTGAGGGAGGCAAGGTTGGGGGTTGGCCCCCCAGCCAGGGGCTTGGCGAGAGGTCCGCCCTGCCGAGGCTTCTCTGCCCCTGGCTGGGGTTCTTATTTGGTGTCGTAGCAGTGAGGGTGAGCACACTGAGATCTGGCTCGCAACTGGTTTTTGGTTTGGTTTTGTGGGGGATTTTTTTTGTTTTTGGTTTTGGTTTGTTTTTCACCTCTGGTTCCTTTGGGGCAGCTGGTTTCTGTTGCGATTATTTTTGGTTTCTTTTGTTGGTTGGTTTCTTTCATTTTCTTTCTTTCCTTCTTTCTTCCTTTTGTTTTGTTTTGTTTTGTTTTTTTGGTTAGTTGGGGTTTTTTTTTGTTTTGTTTTTTGTTTTTTTGGTCTTTCCTCCCTTGTCACTCCAGCTCCAAGGACCCTCTGCGCCACCACCGCGGACCTCCTCGCCCTCTTCCCAGGCGGGGGGACTGAGATGGGGATCAGAGGAGTAGGAGGGGAGGCAAGGTGGGCCCTCACTCGGGCTTGGACCCTGCCTCGGGCCCCCCAGGGCCTCCAGGGGTCTGTGCTGCCGCCTCGCTGCAAGTGGAGGACGAGGACGAGGACGAGGAGGAGGATGAGGAGAGGCCCGGAGACTTGCTGGAGATGGAGGCCGCGACGGCCGCAGCGGCTGCAGAGACCAGGCCCACGCCAGGCGGGGCGCTGAGCAGGGGCAGCCCAGCGTGGTTCAAGAAGAGCGGCGAGGTCACCAGGCCGGGGCTCCCCGGGGCTGCGCCAGCCGCCCCCAGCACCAGGTTCCCGCTGCCGTCAAGGCTGGTAAGGGGCAGGGTTCCACCAGAGGCCAGGGCTGGTGGGGAGAGAGAGAGGCTGGGCTGGGGCGCCTTCCAGCATCCTTCCCACGGTGCCCCCTGTCTTCCCATCTGCCCCACTGACCCCCATCAGCACCCCTCACACCTTCCCCAAAGGTGAGATGGGTATGAAGAGGCGAGCGATGCAGTGAGCGGGGACAGGATGGCATGGCTGGAGCAGCAATGGGGGGAGGCTCGAGGCCCCAGGGGGCCAGGCTGGTGGCGATGGGAGGGACATGAGGCAGAACGCACCTTGGATAGTGGCCAAAGGGTTGTTGCTCATGAGGGCTGGACTCAGCCCGGAGCTCAACCCCACCATTGTGCTTCTGCAAGAGGCAAAGCAGAGGCGTTAGCAGGGGCAGACACCCACCAGCGGCAGAACTGGGACGCAGCTCCCACCCCGGGAAGCAGCAGCCACCCTGCTTCTCTCCCCACAGCCTCCCAAACTGCAGCTGTCCACTTACCCCGTGCTGGGGTTCAGGCCCGACAAGCCGATAGCCGAGTGGCTGCCTTGAGGGCTGGGATTTGTGCTGTTGGTGGTGGCCGGGGGTGGGGGAGTGACAGAGGGGATGGAATTGAGGGGGGGCGCGGCCCCGCCCCCGCCCCCGCCCCCTCCGGCTGTCCGGCTGGGGTGGAGCGTCCCCACAGCTGAGGATAAGGTAGTAACTGCCAGAGAGAGACAGACAGACGGAGACTTCAGCTTCCACTCGTCGTCCACCGGGGAACCCGGGGTCCACCCCTGCTCGCCTTGCCGCCTAGCGCGCGCCCTGCAGCATCTCCTCCCCCACCCCCACCCCCCCCAGGAACAAATTTAGGCCTCCCGCCCGCTCTTCCCACAGCCGCGGTGACAGCGATCACAATAATCGCAGTGTGAGCAGCCGTCACCCACGGAGCCGAGCCCCGTGCCCGGGAGCGCTCACCCGGCGCGAACCGCCCCCCACCCCCACAGAGCCTCGGTGTGGGGCGCCCCGAGGGCTACCCTGGGGCTCCCTCTAGGGGCCAGGCCGGGGGTTGCAGCTGTGCGCCCCAAGGTGGACCGGGCTCGGAGCCGGCTAGGGCCACATTGCCAGACAGCCAAGGGCGGCAATTTCCGAGCTGTCCGTCCCATCTGTACCCTTGGGAGAATGCCTTCACCTCTCTGGCCTTCAGTTCCCTAACTTGGAAAATGCGGTTAATAACAGGACCGACTTCATAAAATGGGTGTGAGGATGATTTTTTTTTTCTTTTTTTAGTTTATTTAAGTAATCACCACGCTCAGTGTAGTGCTCGAACTCACAACTCTAAGATCTGGAGCTGCATACTCCACGGACTGAGCCAGCCAGGCTCCAGTTTTATTATTCTTATATATATATTCTTATAAATCCTTATATATATTATTCTCATATACACAAGCCCCGTCCCAGGAAGGGAGCAAGGAGGGCTTTGGGTACAAAAGAGTATATGTGTGTGTGTGTGTGTGTGTGTGTGTCTGTATGCAGACATACACTCTTGTATGTACATATTCATGTATATAGCTTCTGTATGTAGTATACATTCACAATAATTTTATAAAACCTGAGGCTCAGAGAGGTAAAGTCACTTCTGGAGCTCACACAGTTTATAAAAGGCAGGAACAGACCTGAGGACATCAACTTTTAGCAAAGCCCATGCTTTTCTCATAGGAAATCGCAGAGCAGAGGAGAGCCGAGCTGCTCTGGCAGGGAGGGGTGAAGCTGCCCTCTCCCCTCCGTGCCCCCTGCCTCCCTCATCCCCAGGCTCAACCTTCAGGCCCACAGACACCCAGAGCCACTAGAGAACCCCGGGCCTGCACTGGGTCTTCCCAATGCCCCCTCATGGGGGGGCTCTTGCCTGCCCTGACCTGTTGTGCTCAGACTGCTGGAAGCTTGGGACAATGGCAAGGTCCCGGCGCCCCCCTGGGGTGTGACCTGGGGAGAGACGAAAGAAGGCATGTTGAGGCCACTGTTTCCCAGCAGCCCCCATGATGCTCCCTGTGGGGAAGACCCCCATTCATCTGCCCTCAGGCTGAGGGGAGAAGGGGCTTTGGGCACAATGCTATGCTTATATTATGCTAGGTTCTTTCCATCGTATCTAACTTAACATTTACCCAACGTGATCCTGAGCCACAGGCAGGAAGAAATCATTCCCAGTTAAGAGTGTTCCCCCATGTTTCCTCTGACACCATCCAGCTGCAAGTCTAAAGCGTGTGTGTGTGTGGGGGGCAACTGTTATGATCATAAGGGGTGTCTCTGCATCAGAGTGTTGGGGTGTCCTACTGCTTGATTTTCTGGGACCACCCACCAGCCTCCTTCTTGGCCTCCCTGCCTCCAGTCTTGTCCTTCTATCATCTCCAATAGCCTCATTCTTAATGTGACCCTGTCCCTTCCCAGCTCAAAAGTCCACCTTAGCCCCTCACTGCCCGTGGTTCACATTCAAGCTCCTCAGCATGTTACTTGAGAGTCTGGCCCCTGCCCAGCCCCTACCCTCACACTCATTCATATACATTCCTGCTCCAACCACATTAAATTGTGCTGGAGTTCCTCTAGTCGGGGTCAGCACACTCTGGCTTCTAGGCCTTTGTGCACAGCAGTCTTCAAGTGGCTGGCGGCCTCCCCCTCGTCCTTTAGAACTCAGCTCAGGTGGTCTCTTCTTCCTCCATACCAAGGGGGCGGGGGGCTCCTCTCTGTCACATCACAGCCCCTTTCCACATAAGATGCAATAAAAAGGTGTCCCAGTGTGTCTGATCCTGAGTGGGTCTGTGTGCAGCTGTGAGCCTGAATGTACACCCAGGGACAAAATGCTGTCCCTGCCTGTGTCTGTGTGTGTGGCTGTGAACCTGTGTGTGGAGGGAGGGGTACCTCCATCCCTTAACCTGGGATCCCTCCCCGTGTGGCCATGCCCTGTGAGAACTGGGCTCTGTTTTTTGGCTCTGATGGTGTGTGTCTGTGGATGCTTGTATGCCCTACATAAGACCACAGTTTCCTGAAAACTGTCCCTGGGTGACTGTGCTCTACCCATGTGACAGTCTGTCCCTAAAAGTCAGTCTCCCTGCCCCTGTGCCAGGCACTGAGAACAAGCAGGTAGACTGTGCTTCACAGAGGCGCCTGCCCAGGGGCGGGGTGTTGCCAGAGCTCTATGCCCCCCACCCCCAGGGGGGCTCCTTGTACCAGATGGGGGCTGTAGCTGGCCGGTTTCCCCGGGCTGGGCAACATGGGGGCTGCACTGCAGGGGTTGATGCGTTTTTCCTTCTGGCGCCGGTTGCAGAACCAGACGCGGATCACTTCCTTCTCCATGTGCAGCTGCTCTGCGATCAGCAGGATCTCCTCTGAGGTAGGCTTCTGGTTCTGCGGGCAGAGGGCTGGTGAACCCCAGGTCCACCCCGACCCCCCACCCCAATCCTCAGGACCGCACAGAAGGCCTCACCGCTAGAAAACTCTTCTCTAAGGCGAAGCGGACGTTTGTCTCGATGCTGGTCCTCTTCTTGCGTCTCCGGCCGGGGAGCCCGTCGAAGCCCAGGCTGGGGCTGCTCAGCTGGTTGGGGCTGGGCAGGCTTGAGTCCACAGACATAGTCTCTGTGCCCGGGCAGAAACGGGGGCATGAGAGGGCGCCTCCTGGGCCCAGCACCCACCGTGCGCCCTGGGAGCCCCAACCCAGTCCCACCTGCGTCGTTGAGCCACTTCTCCAGAAGGGGCTTGAGTTTGCACATGTTCTTGAAGCTCAGGTTGAGGGCCTCGAAACGGGAGATGGTCGTCTGGCTAAAGTCGTTGCCGTAGAGCTTGCCCATGGCCAGGCCCACGTCACCCTGGCCGAGTGAGATGGGAACCGGGCAGTGGTCAGGGCCCGGCCTGCGGGTTAGGGCTCACCCGCGGCACAGGCTGGCCACACCCCTGCCCCGCCCACCAGCCTGCTGCGGCATCGCCCCTCCCTACGACCTGACCACGCCTACTGCCCAAGCTTCAGGGAGAGAAGCCCGCCTCCAGCCCACCACCTGGCCAGGCCGCTTCAGACTCACGCCCACCGCCCCCCACCGACCCGCACCCCCCCACCCCGCTGCCCGGTGGCTCCAGACCTGTGTGAAGCCCAGCTTGATGCGGCGTTGCTTGAAGGTGCGGGCGAACTGCTCCAGCTCCTCCAGGTCACTGGGCTCCTCGGGGTGAGATGGTGGCTCCAAGCATTTGGGGGGCTGCGGGTGCGAGAGGTGCGGGTCGGGCAGCGTGGGGCGGGTCACGGCCTGGTAGGGTGGGCAGGGGTGGGTGGGATGCAGGACCGAGGACCAGGATGGGGCTCAGCAATGGCTGCACAGTTCCCCCTCCCTCCTTCCCTCCCTGCCGTCCCGCCTCTTCCTGCAGGCTCTCCTCTACTGGTCCGCAGGAGGCTGGTGCGCGCTCACTGTCAATCCCCACCGAGGAGACTCTGCTGCTACGTAGGGACCTCTCGCTGCCCCAACGCTCTCTCAGCACATTCCCTCCCAGCATGCAAACTCCCAGAAGGAGTAGCCCGCTCCTTTCAACCAACTGCTTTTTCCCTGGAGCTGGGGGCCATGTTTTTATCCTTCTCTCAGACGGGGATTCAACGACTGGCTCTGTTACCGAATTGCCAGGTAACTCAGGCAAGTTTCTTAATCTCCCTGGGCCTCTGCAGAATGGAAACAATCATGGCTGCTCTGCCGACCCCATGGGGTTGAGGGATGGGAGAACCCCCTTAAAAGTTGCAAATAAAGTGAAAGTATTTTAAAAAGTTGATGGGGAGGGTGACTGGGGGATTTACAAAGAAGCAACAACTCTCTCTGGATTGCTTCATTTCCCTAAAAATATCTGAAACAGGCGTTAAGTGCAACCATGTTGGTCATACAAGCCCTCCATCCATTATCCAAACACTGGAGCCATATGTGTTTTGGAACCCAGAAATTTTACAGATTTTAGAAAGCCTACACAGGGCACATATAAATAATGTGACCCCCCCCCCCATCAGGGTCAAGGCATCGCTCCATCACCGAACACATTAACAGCTCTTAGCAAAGCACACATATCACACGGAGGGAGAAAGGGAAGTCAGACTCCCTGCCGTAGGTCAAGATGGGTTTTGCAGCCAGATGACTTCTGGTCTCACATTACAAAAACAACTTGGTTTTCCAAGCATTTTGGGTTTCAGAATTCAGCCCAGCCCTGTATTATCTCTAAACTTTTGGGGTTTTCTGAAATAGTTCATATTTTTTGAAAGTTCATATTTAAAAAAAAAAAGTGGCTAGAAGGGAACACTAAAATCCATAAAGAATCATGAAAGATTATTATTAAAGCCTAGAACCCAGTCAGCACACTGAAAGAAAGGCCAGGCCACAATCTATAGGGTTTTTTTGTGTGCTTATACACGTGTGCATTTTGGGGTAGCGGGGGTCAGATCAAAATCTTTCATCAGATTCTCAAAGGAGTCCATGTGTCTGAAAGGGTTAAGAGCTGCTGGCATGGCTGATTCCCCTCCTTCTATAGAGGAAGAAGCTGACCCAGACACGGAGCACTAAGGTCCCACAGCAAATCAGTGGCAGAGCAGGGCTGGTCCCCAGGTCTTCTGACTCCTGTCCTGGCTTCTGTGGTCATGAGAAGGGTCGAAGGGAGAGGAGACCCTCACCCTCCCACCCCCATTCACCCAGCCTGGAACACTCGGTGGACATTCTCACCTGTGTGGGCAGCCCGGCCCGGGGCTGGGAGGTCAGAAGAGCTCCCTGGGTTTGCTGAGGTAGCTGGAAGAGATTTGGCGTCGGTAGCAGGCCTGGGGAGACAAGGGGATTGCATGGGGTGAGGGGGGAGGGAGAGTTCTGTGGAAGCATCCTGGGGAGGGGAGGCCTTCGGGGTGGGCCCTTACCTGGCTGACTCTGCTGGGCCTGTGGCAGCAGGAACTGAGCAGGTGGCTGGAGGTGGTGGCCGGGGACAAGCACCAGCTGCTGAAGCTGGAGGAGCTGCTGTATGTCCTGGCAGGGAGGGGGATGGACAGAAAGACAGCCTGAGTCCTGGCCCAGCTCCCTCTGCATTGCTTGAGCCCTGAGAGACTCCACAGGGTGGGCCGGGAGGGACAGAGCACTGGCTCTGAATGGTGTCCCATAGTGTCCCAGAGCTAAGCGCCCCCAGGAGGCTTCTCCCAACCCAGTGCTACCAGAGCATCCTATCTGGGCCATCCCAGAAGGGCTCGCTCTTGATTTACCTGCTCTTTCTTAAAGAAATATTTGCCTTGTCTTACATTCCTGCAGAACAAATAAAATTGTTTAAAAATGTAAATCAGACCAAGTCTTCCTTTCTCTTAAAACACTCGAGGCAAACGATACCAAGTCTGGAATTAGCTTTAAAATACTCCAGCACAGTAAATTGGTTCAACCACTTTGGAAAACTCTTTGGCACTGTTATGGTTTGAATTGTGTCTGCCCCTCAAAAAATATGTAGGAATCCTCACCCCCCCACCGGAACCCCAGAGGGTGACCTTATTTGGAGACAGGGTCCTAATCCAATATGATGGGTGTCCATTTAGTAAGGGGGAATTTGGACACAGAGACAGACATGTACAGAGGGGAGGCACTGTGAAGAGAAAGCAGAGAGAAGATACCCAACCCTGCCAACACACTGGCTTTGGACTTAGAGCCTCCAGAACTGTGAAAGAAGACATTTCTGTTGTTCGAGACAGCCACTGGCGGCTGGTTGTTCCAGCAGCTCTAGAAAACAAGTAGAAGCATTATTTACTAAAGCTGAATGTACGCCTGCCTCACGACCCAGCAGTTCCACGCCTGGGGGTAAGCCACTGTAAATGCGTTTTTGTGTTCACCAAAAGACACATACCCGAATGTTCACGGCAGAACCATTTGTAATAGCCCAAACCCAAAGATAGCCCAGGTATCGAAAGCATCGAAATGGGTGAGTAAACTGATTCAGTGGACTACTACAGCCACGAGAAGGGGCAGTCTACAACCTATAATGACGCACAGCAAAATACACGTCCCGGACATGATACAAAGAAGGAGCTAGACACGGTAGAGAGCATCCTATCTGGTTCCATTCGCATGTGGGGAGGGAGAGGCAAGAAGGCATCACAGGGGCGCCTGGGGGGCTGGCCATATTCACTTCTTCATCTGGCTGCCAGTTACATGGGTATGCTCAGTTTGCAAGGGTCGTTGGTCTGTATATTTATGATTGGTGCACTTTTCAGTATTTGTTACAACTTCAATGAAAAGATTTTTTTAAAAAAAGAATTTATTTATTTATTTGACAGAGAGAGACAGCAAGGGAAGGAACACAAACAGGGGGAGTTGGAGAGGGAGAAGTGGGCTTCCTGCTGAGCAGGGAGCCTGATGATGTGGGGCTCAATCCCAGAACCCTGGGACCTGAGCCAAAGACAGATGCTTAACGAATGAGCCACCCAGGTGCCCTGAAAGATTTTTTTTTTTTTTTTTTTAAGGGAAATGAGGCAGGGACAGAGGGAGAGGAAAAAAAAAAAAAATCTAGCCTCTCTACCAGAAAATGAGGGATATAGATGAAACAGGATTGGCAAAAGTTTGGAATCTGTTGAACTGGGTGAAGGCATGTATGGTTCCTTATATCATACTCTCCACTTTTAGCTTTGAACATTTCCAAAAGAAAAAGTAAAACACACACACACACACTCCAGTGGCTTCTTGTGGCCACAATAATACAATCAAAACTCCTCACCTGGTCTCTAAGGTCCTTTATACCAAAGCCCGTGCTAGTCTTCCTGACCTCAACTCCTACCTCAGGGCCTTTGCACATGCTGTTCCCTCAGCCAAACCAGTTCTAGTTGTTATACTCCTACCTAATCCCTTCTTATCACTCAGGTCTTCACATAAAATCACCTCTTCAGAGGCCCCTGGGTGGCTCAGTCAGTTAAGTATCTGACTCTTTTTTTTTTTTATTTTTAAAAATTTTATTTATTTGACAGAGAGACACAGCAAGAGAGGGAACACAAGCATGGGGAGTGGGAGAAGCAGGTTTCCCACTGAGCAGGGAACCAGATGTGGGGCTTGATCCCAGGACCTGAGCCAAAGGCAGACACCCAACACCTGAGCCATACAGGCACCCCAAGTGTCCAACTCTTGATTTCAGTTCAAGTCATGATCTCAGGTTGGTGATCTCAGAGTCACGAGATTGAGCCCTGCATCAGGCTAGGCATGGAACCTGCTTAAGATTCTCTCCCTCTCCTGCCCCTTCCACTTGTGCTCTCACTCTCTCTCTCTATCTCTCTAAAATAAATGAATAGGAGTGCCTGGGTGGCTCAGCCGGTTAAGCATCTGCTTTCAGCTCAGGTCACAATCTCAAGGTCCTGAGATCGAGCCCCACATCGGCTTCCCTGCTCTGTGGGGAGTCTGCTTGTCCCTCTCCCTCTTTCTCTCTGTGTTCTCTCTCTCTCTGAAATAAATAAGTAAACCATTTTTAAAAAATAGAGAATAAATAAATAATAAATAAATCCTTTAAAAAAGATTCTCTCTCTCTCTATCCCCACTCCTCAGGGACTCACGCTCTCTCTTGGAAAAAAAGAAAAAAAAGATCACCTCTTCAGAGATGCCCTCCTTGACCATCTAATCTAAAGCAGCCACTACCACCCTCCTTTTGTTTTTTAAAATATTTTATTTTTTAAATTTATTTGACAGAGAGAGAGAGAGAGAGAGACAGCGAGAGAGGGAACACAAGCAGGGGGAGTGGGAAAGGGAGAAGCAGGCTTCTCGCTGAGCAGGGAGCCCGATGTGGGGCTCGATCCCAGGACCCTGGGATCATGACCTGAGCTGAAGGCAGATGCTCAACAACTGAGCCACCCAGGCGCCCCTACCCCTCCCTTTGTCATTTTCCCTTCACCTTCTCTTTAAGACTTATTACTATCTCAAGGTATCTCTCATTCTGTTTAGCCTTTCACAGTGCATCTCCCTCACTGGTATGTCAGCTCCACAAGTGTGCAGTCTTGATGGTTCTGGTCATTATTATAATCCCAGCATCTAGAATAGGATCTGGCACCCAGTAAGTGCTCCACATATATTTGTTGAATGGACCCACATGGATACTTCATGATTTTTACCCAGCAACTTTTCTGTATACAGTTGAAAGTTATGTTATTTAGAGTAACATTCTTTTTCCTTCTGGGAAGTTGAGGGGGATGACACATGCCCCTCAATTCTTCCCAATGCTATCGTTATCCCAAAGACCAATCTGATGTCCTAGGACGTGAACAAGCTGAGGGGAAACACAAGCAAGTTGAAACAAAGGGTTCATTTCTTTAACATATAAAGAGTCATTACAGATCAATAAGAGAAAAACGAACAATCCAGTAGTGATTTGGCCAACGTAGGTCTGGTGACTGCCCAGCAAAGGAAATACAAACAGCTCTGAATGAAAAAACATTCAGACTCATTCACAGTAAGATAAGCACAGCCACAACTGCACAGAGATACTATTTTTACCTATCTGATGGGCAGATAACAGCAGTGCAGAACACGCTGTGTTGGGGCATATCGGGAAACATACACTCTTACACATCACTGGGGAGAAGATAATTTGGCAACATCTGTCAGAAGCAGGGCAGAAGACAAGAACACACATTTCTCCAAAGAAGATGTATAAATGGACAACAGACACATGAAATGCTGCTCAGTATCACTCGGCATCAGGGAAATACAAAACAAAACCACAATGAGATACCACCTCACACCAGTCAGAATGGCTAAAATTAACAAGTCAGGAAACAACAAATGTTGGCGAGGATGTGGAGGAAGGGGAACCCTCCTACACTGTTGGTGGGAATGCAAGCTGGTGCAGCCACTCTGGAAAACAGCATGGAGGTTCCTCAAAAAATCTGAAAATAGGGGCACTTAGGTGTCTCAGTGGGTTAAAGCCTCTGCCTTTGGCTCAGGTCATGGTCTCAGGGTCCTGGGATCGACCCCCACATCGGGCTCTCTGCTCAGCAGGGAACCTATTTCCCCCTCTCTTGCTGCCTGCCTCTCTGCCTACTTGTGATCTCTGTCAAATAAATAGAATCTTTAAAAAATTTTTTGAAAATAGAGCTACCCTACGACCCAGCAATTGCACTACTGGGTATTTACCCCAAATATATAAATGTAGTGATCTGAAGGGGCACAGCACCCCAATATTTATGGCGGCAATGCCCACGACAGCCAAACTATGGAACGAGCCCACATGTCCACTGAGAGATGAATGGATAAAGAAGATGTGATGTGTGTGTGTGTGTGTGTGTGTGTGTCTGTGTGTGTGTATATATACATATATATATATATGTATATAGTGCAGCCATCAAAGCTGAAATATTGGGGCACCTGGGTGGCTCTGTGGGTTAAGCCTCTGCCTTTGGCTCAGGTCATGATCTCAGGGTCCTGGGATCGAGCCCTGCATCAGGCTCTCTGCTCAGCAGGGAGCCTGCTTCCCCCACCCTGCCTGTCTGTCTGTCTACTTGTGATCTCTCTCTGTCACATAAGTAAATAAAATCTTTTTTTTTTTTTTAAGATTTATTTATTTATTTGACAGAGATAGACACAGCGAGAGAGGAAACACAAGCAGGGGGAGTGGGAGAGAGGGAAGCTGGCTTTCCTGCCAAGCAAGGAGCCCGATGCGGGGCTCGATCCCAGGACTGTGGGATCATGACCTGAGCTGAAGGCAGACACTTAACGACTGAGCCACCCAGGCGCCCCAAATAAATAAAATATTAAAAAAAAATGAAGTCTTGCCATTTGCAATGACGTGGATGGAACCAGCGAGTATTACGCTAAGGGCTATGTCGATCAGAGAAAGACAATTATCATATGGTCTCATATGTGGAATTTTCAAAAAAATTTTTTTAATGATTTTATTTATTTATTTGACAGACAGAGATCACAAGCAGGCAGAGAGGCAGGCAGAGAGAGAGGAGGAAGCAGGCTCCCCGCTGAGCAGAGAGCCCGATGTGGGGCTCGATCCCAGGACCCTGGGA